AGTGTGTTTTGGTGTATGTAGTGCAAGTGTGGTGCAAGTTGGTGATTAGGACACATCACTTGTTGTCATCTACTTTTGTTGGTGATTAGGACACATCACTTGTTGTCATCTACTTTTGTTGGTGACTAGGACCTTGCAGTGGCTGGCGTGGACCCACGTAGCTCTCTCTCTGACCCTTGGCCTTCAGAGCTGTCCTACTGTAGTTATTGGGTTAACACTTGATAGGGATGTTTTCCTGAGTGCAGACAACTCAAGGTAATGGATTAGCACATTATCATTTAAATACAAAAATAGGATAGGCCCCTCAGAATTATTTGGGAGTCTTCCTGACACATGCATAAATGTAAGGTTTGTGTTAGTCATTTAACATGCAAGAATCATAAACTCATCAGTCCAAAGCAGAGAAATGTTATTGTAATTTAAAGGTGAGCTAGTCCCTGTGGATATCACCCCTTCTCAATGATTCTAAATGTTATATTAATTCACCATTTACCGTTTGATAACATATTAGTTTATCAGAAATATTTTCCTCTTCCATAAAACAGGTTTGAGAAATAAATGTTCCAATATAAAATCAATTACTCAATATAATTGACTCTCCCCTCCCTTTTCTTACATATGTCTCATATGAAATAATAACTTAGGAGTCTATTTAAGCATGGTGTAATCTATTACTCGAGAAGACTCAGTATCACCTGTGTGCAGCTTACAAAAAAACAAACAATTGTGAGAAACATATATTATGCAGGAACTGTATACCTTTGTTAAAAAAACAAAGCATATCTGATTTGGGAGGAAAAGCTTCATCCCCCTAACATCTGAGTCACTACTGAAGGCATAGCATGAATGATAGTGGGTGTCTGAGGGTGTTATTACTGAGAAATGTCAAACACATTCAAAACCTTACATTTGAAAACTGGTTTGCATTCCTCCACTTAAAATGACGTTATCATTGGAAACAATAAAAGCTAATTGTTTTGATGTAGAATCTATCAATTGAATTGTTAGAGCAGAACAGAATGGTCGTATTGTAGCCTGAGTACCGTGCAGCCTTCAGTTTCACCAGGTGGAAACATTGTCCATATAATGTGAATACATGTAGAACTAGACATTAAGAGGCCCCTGACATTTAGGCCTATTTTAAAAAAATAGTAGGGGCTTTTAACAGCTTGCCAACCTACAGGCATCCTCTGCATAGCAGTATGAATAGCCTTAAAAAAACAACCCACTCTGCGGTAACGAGAGTCATATTTCTGAACCAAATGCCCTAAGTTAAGCCGTTAGTCCCATCTGACTGACCCAAGGGTTGGTGCTGGTGTGACCGGGAGGCTTCCAGGTGTTCAAAGCAGATGTCAAGCTTTCAGTTCATGGCTTGGTGGGGGGAGTGGCCCACGTGAGACAGTATTGTTCAGTTTGAGGAGCGGCATTGTCTCTGGGAGCAGGTAATGGTGTCCATTCTCAGACCAGACCATTAATGTCATTTCATGTAGAGCAGCCATAGCATCTCTGTGACTGCACTCAGCCGGACTGTCAGAACTGGGTGATTCTTAGTGAAGCCGTCCAAGGCCATAGACAGAATGGAACCACGTACCAACAAAAGGGACACAAGGTCATCAATGTCTCTCTTTACCATTGGCCTAATTGCACAACAAATTAGTGGGAAAAATGTGGAGCACTAATCCATCATGTGAAATGTTGAGTTAATCTAAATAATTCCTTATGGGTTGAAATCAAATTAACATTAGAACTAAAGTCAGTCATAATTGGACTTTGCACGGATCCGAATCTAAGCAATACACCATTTCCCCAGCTCTGTAATAAAAAGGATAAGAAGATTAGGTACATCACAGGAGTGTTCCACACCCAAACATGCACACTTATCTTATTCTAGTAGAGATTAGAGGACAAGGTCTAATGTTGTGAACAAAATGATCAAGTCAAAGTTATTTTGTTTATTATATGTTATGTACCTAATTTAATTTAATAATTAATCTTGAATTACTAATAACTTTAAAGAAGGCAACAATTTACAATTTGGATGAAGTGATTACTCATCCAAAGTGTGTGTGTGTGCGTATCTGCCCAAGGTTTAAAACATTTGGGACAGCACAGCAGTGAGAATGTTATGAGAACCAATCTGTTGTTTATACTAAACTCGAAGGAAGCTAGACTGGAACATTTTAAATAAATCAAAACACTTGCACATTAATTAAATACATTTGACATTTAGCTCGAGCTGGGTTCAATACTTTTCTTTATGGTATTTAAAATTGGGCTCGAGTAGAACCCCTGGATTTGGCTTGCAACACAAAGTGATACTGATCTCTGTAGGACTTGGAAGTGTCATGATTCAAAGTGCCTGTGAAAGAGAGGCCCTTGGAAAACAACATCTGTTTTTTAACTGTGATTACTTATTTTAAAGAAATTGCAACATTATACTTTTAAAGAATTGCTCAATTAATTTAACACATTTATTATGCACACAATAAAAACTTCAACAAATATATTGATCCTGGCTTAACCAGCAACCTTTACTCTGTTGTTCATAAGCTCGGTTTCAGAAAACTTGTCAGTAGTTTAACAATTATTTTAATTTGAGTATTGTCTATGGAGACCAATTGGTTGATACTAGAAATAATTTGAAGCAGTTTAATAAAGAATGTTAAACTATTTTTAAAACTGTAATTGAACTTCAACTTATATTAATTACCTGATTCCAGTGGCCAGTTGGAACAGAATAATTAACACAGTTTCCATTTTGCTGCAACAGCGCAAAAGGTTTCAACAACAATTAGTATTATGTCTGAGTCTTGTTCTGCTTATCTGCTTTGTTTCGGAATGTGTTCAATACATTACGTTTTTATTCATTATTACTATACAATACATAGATTAAGAATAAATGAAACAAATAATTGACCTAAAACCAGATTTTGCAACCCTGATCTCCTCAGGCAAGTCTCTGAGGGTCTCGGGGCGCAGGACGGGGCATAGGGTTTATACAAGGTCACAAAGATATCTTAACATACCAGCAATACCATTTAAGAATGGATTCTTAAAGCAATATAATCTTATTTTCTTCTTACACCTAGCGCTCACCCTGAACAGTGTGCTTCTTGTTTACATGTTCCCCTGCACTCAGAGGCAGGACATAAAAACACTTTTTATTTTTCTCAGGTCATTTACTTTTGGTGAGATAATTAAAGTTTAGTTCATTTTACCCTGTCTATGGACTGATTAATTATTGTTACAAAACATACACAAGACGGCGGGACAAACCAATATAGACCCCCCATACAAACAATCAGACAAACAAAACATGAACTCGTAATAAACACCAGCGCGACAGCAAAGCTCATCAGCTCAATTTAGTCCGGATTTTAGAGATCTTAGAGGGGGTGGGGAATTAGTGGGGCGTCTTCTCACGCCTCACCCTTGTATACAAGTGATTTATCGGTGCCTGAAAGCCGTCCAAGAGCGGTAACTAGCTTATCCTCTTGCGACAACCACTAGGCTATTTGTTTCTAGTGGCGCTGTGCCCCCCCGATCGGAGCCCACAGACTTTTTCCCTGCCCTTTCTCTCCAAACAACAGCTCAGTTGACTGTAGTCCGTACGACCAGCCTATATCTACTCGCCATCGAGTTCACCTCAAGGTGAAACACAGTTTGCCTATGCTTGCTTGCCACTACACACCTCTGATCAATTAGCCTATAATTGTATGTATGCACTCCTGACCGCTACCTGCTCCAGAGAGCCGTAGCGCATCGGGTGATGCACGCACTTCGCGCTGGCCCGTCTAACCATGAGAAAAGCGGTCCTAAACAACGAGTGCTTTTAGACCGTCCCGTTTGAAGGACGGCGGTGCCGTGAGTTAAAACCTATAGGCAATAAGCTGTGACTTTCTCCCTCTCAGCCTGCACTGCTCCAGCCCCACACACACACAGGGAGGTTTTACACACACACACACACAAGGCTGCAGCTGGAGCCGTGTTTTTACAGAGAGGTGATAGCAGTAAATATCTCTGGCTGCTTATTTTCAACTGCTATGTTTGGCCGCTAAGACCCTCAAAATCCGGCGATTTGTCCAATACAAATCTTTTACATTGCTTTCAATTCACACAGAAGCTCCACTTCACTGATGCCCTTTCCTTAAGGTATCTCTAAACATGAGCTGTGTATGCCTGTATGGCACTTCCGTCCCGAGCAGCATACACAGAGGAAATAAGCCAGGACTGAGTCCCCAGACACTGATTCCCTGGGTTTAACTATCCCCAAATGTTCATTAACCAAAAGGAAACGCAGCCGATCAGTTTCACAGGTAATTTTAGGATACCGTCAATCACAGATTCTGGTAAGGCAATGTCCAAATGTAAATTTGAAAATCACACTTACCAGCTCTGTAGATTTATTGGCATCCTGCCGACAACGCCAATTTGTAGAGGAAACTTCTGTGTAGCTATGCAGTGGGAGTCACCGACTCAGGAAGGAGACACGGGAAGAGCAGTAGCTTTGATGTCAAACACATGATGGTTTATTTGGAGTTAACGGCCGGAGGATTCACATCACAAGTCCAAGAGTCAGAGGTTCTGACTTCACGGTAGAGTTGCCACGTCAATTCTGGAGAGCCTCTCTCTTGCCAGCCCATCTAACTGGTTTCGCAGAGAGTAAACAACATATTTGAGAAGATAGCCTAAACAGTGTGGGAACACTGAGCTACTTGCCTCGGACACCTATGACCTCGAAGATTTCACCTTGGAGTCCACAAATACAGAGAAGGAAGTGTCCCAGTGTACCCACAACACAGACCATCTGTGACCCAGTATTGACCGGTCACAGAATGGGAACAATAACATTATTGGCTAAGCAGCCTGTGTCCTTAAAGAAGGTAAACAGACATCAAGGTTTGTCCTGTATGTCACATCTTGGCGTCTATGACAATTATTTCCATAACAGTTACTATTATTAATAATGTCTTCTTTGTTTTCTTTATTTATCGCTGCAGAAAGGATCATGCCAGCCCACATCAAACACCTGATCAAGAACTTGTGAACCTCACGCTGCAGACACCTGTGTGATATTCCACTCTGACTGGAACCCTCAAAATGACCTGCAGGTACGATATATATATCTGCTCTGTCCGTCCTAAAGATAGATCAATAGGGCTACAACAACAACAGTCTTTCCGTTTATTCCCTCGGTTCTTTAAGTGTATATTATTTTCCCATTTAATGCTTAAAAACGTTGAACAGCAGCTGCACATGATGCTCTTTTGACCCCTCTTTTAATTTTTAATTTCAGGCTCAAGCTCGGTGTCATCGTTTTGGCCAGTCTAAGGCGGTGGAGGTGTACCGTCTGATCACTAGAAACTATGAGAGGGAAATGCTGGATAAAGCTAGTCTGAAGCTCGGGCTGGACCGTGCCGTCCTGCAGAGCATGAGTGGCAACAACAACGGGGTGAGAAAAAGAAAATCTGTCATATTTCTAGATGCCAAGTCATTTTTGGGTCAGTCGCTGTTGCAGTACGCTTAGTTTATTTTCAAAAAGAGTTTTCTAAATCCACTTGTGTAAATGTCTCTCTGCGTCGCCTTTAGCCGGTCCAGCAGTTCTCCAAGAAGGAGATCGAGGACCTGCTGAGGAAAGGAGCCTATGCCGCCATCATGGACGAGAACGACGAAGGCAACCACTTCTGCTAGGAGGACATCGACCAGATCCTGCAGCGAAGAGCCACCATCATCACCATCACCAGGTATGTTCTTAGCAGCACTAGCCACTTGCTCTTTGAGACATCAAGTACTTGGTTATTTGAAATGTAATATTGATGATGTAATAATTAAAACTAGGGATGGGTACCGAGCCCCAGTATTAACGGGGCCCCGGGGCTGAATTATTAAAGACCGTGGTACCGTTAACGTCCAACGTTATCGATCTTTTTATCGGTACTGGAGACATTTAAAAAATAGATGTCATATGTATTATATCTACATAAACATTATATCGCAGTCTTACTGTCGCCAACTCCGTTTCTAATATGCAATAAGACTACAAAGTGCTTCTATGATTTATTTTCGATCTTTCCAATCCAGACGAGAGATCTCTCTCTCCCCTGTCGGTGTGCGAGGGGGCGGGGCAGTTTACACACAGAACCTGCTACATGCATGCAACACACACACACACACACACACGCGCGTGCGCACACAAACACATGGCGGAGAGAACTAAGCGCCCCGAGGGTAGTTATGTTACCCGTCTTGAGCATGGATGTATAATAAGAACTGGATACAGCGTCGGAGGAGGGGCCTCGTTTTTTCCTATGAGAGCTGCTCATTGGCGCATGAAGTCAAAATGGCCCAACTTTTGAGAGAGCGAAACGTCACAGATTACCCGTCATGCCTGGCTGTCAGAGCAGAAGAACCCGTTTGTGCGCTCACAGAGCATGCGCCCCTTAAGCCCCGCCCCCGAGCACACACTCTCGGCTCACTAGATGAATGGAGAGAGAGAATAAATCTAGATTCGGCTTTTAGTGCATTTTACAACTTTAAGGACTTAATGATTCCAGGGCTATACAATAGTTCCTACTGGGTAGTTTATTTAGTTAAAAAAAAATTATCCACCGATTTACAGACGTCTCTTTCCCAATGTTAGTCAATGGGAAAAAGTATTTCTGGGCCGGTCGACGTCACAGACTGATAAGGAAATTGTAGTACCACCGTTTGGACACAACGCATATTTTCCTCAGAGTCCAGCACACTTCCTGGGGGCTTGGTCTTGAGGTGGAAAATGCTTTTTGCCAAAAGTGCAATAAGAATTTAGCATGTAAGGGCGGTAACACGAGCTATTTGTCTAAACATTTAGCAAAAGTGCACCACATTCAGACGGAGGAATGCACCGGGTTCGACTGTCTTTCTAGTAGCTCTGTAGCTCCATCCACGAGTAACGTTTCCACGTCAGGTGTTATGTATGCTAGCAGCAACACACAGAGTTAACTCAATAATACAAACATGGGTTAATGATTAGAGGTAACTGAGTTATTTATTTTGTTAAAGTTTCAGCTATTCTGTTTGCAGTTCTGTCATCACATAATTGAATACGATTTGTTAAAACATTGTTGTTTCTTATTTTCAGTTTGCTTCAAGCAGTGGCTGTACGAGAAAGACTTGGAGGACCAAGAAATGCTGGCCAGATTGGCAAAGACCGGAAGATACATAACAGAGAAGATAATGGATATTAACAAGAAAAAGAAAAACAATGTTTATAATTTCTTTGTTGCTGTTTACATTTTGAATTATATTTGTTATTTTTAAATCAAATGCATCTATTTTAGATGATATATTTATTTAGATGTAGGTTTTTTTTTTTAATATATATTATTGTATTAAGTATCATTTATTAAATAAAAATACTGATATGAACACTATACAATGTCTTTATTTTGATAGTTACCAGAATACATTGTATATTTAATACTAACATAAGCTGGTGATAGATAAATGCTGGTCTGCTAGTATGCCAGCAGACAAATATTTATAAAGAAAGAAACAGAAGGGAGGAAATGATGATAGCTAGACTCAGAATAAATCACACAGCATTGAATGGTACGCTGCATGTCATGGGGAAAAGTAACAGTGACAAGTGTAGGAACTGTGGAGTTAAAGAAAATGTGGAACATCTATAAAGCTGAAAGAGAAAAACTAAAGGATAACGTTTTAGAGGCAGAGAGGGAATGGAGTGTGGTTGGTATTTTGGGAACAAAAGGAGAGGGAGAAAGAGCTACCAGCAAGGCACTCTTTACCTTTAGTGAAACTGGGGTAGGTAAAATTATCTAACATTAGGTCAGGAAAGATCATAGATTGTTGTTTTGTTTTATTTATTACGTTTTTTATTTATTTATTTTTGGATTAGATCATAGATACGTCCATGAGTTAAGAGATGGAATGATATGATGATTCACACTCATGTACAGTAGGTGGCGGTATGCACCTTAAAGTTGTTTGCAATCCGCCAAAAAACCGAGAGAAGAAGAAGTCAACTGGTTTGCCACCGAAGAAGAAGCGAACATTTCTGGCGGGTGAAATTTAGAGTATCAGATTACATGCGATGTCTGACTCTGATAATTTAGTAGTTTGCCTTATGGCGCGTTTCCACTACAGGCCTCGCTCGGTTTGGTTAGGCCTTATTAGGCCCGGTGTCAGTACCAGATGTGTTCGGGGTACCAGATGTGTTCGGGTGTATTTCCGTCATATACTCACCTCCCTCTGCTCCCAGCGCTCTGCTGCCACACACCGGCCGTCTGCGGAACTGCAGCCGGAGGAACTCGGGACAGCTTGTTATGTGTGGGGTGCTATGGTGGGGTCCCATGTACTTGTGCACATAAATAATGTTTCTAATTACTTACAATTTAAAAAAATATATATTCTGCGTTACTTTAGCCAACACTTTTATAAGGCCACTAGATTAGATAATTACGAAATGTGTAGATAGAATAGGCCTACATATCTTTCAGGTTGTTATTTTGTCATTATGTTTAATGTTTTATTTACCTTTTAATATGTTTATATAGTATCTGAACTTTGGAGAGGAGTTAGGAGACACACGACACATCAAATCACATCTACAGATCAAGACGAAGCGAATGGAAGTACTCCCATACTCCTAGAGTGAAAATGTTTGTGAAAACGTGTGCAAAGTCTCCGAAAATCCTAAAAATAAGCTCATATTTGAATTCCCCATAAAAAAACACATCATTCAGTAAAAAGAAGGCCCCACTGATCATCTACTCTCTGAGACGATTCCAGGGATGTCTGGCTTGAGTTTCTACCACCAGGGAAAGTGGACAAAAGTGCCCGAGATCAGCCTCTTAATTTACCCAGGGCCTAGTGCTTGGCGTTTGGCATGAACATTCAGGAAACTCCCCTGAGTATTTTATTAAATATCTGAACTTTGGAGAGGAGTTGGGGGACACACGACACATCAAATCACATCTACAGATCAAGACGAAGCGAATGGAAGTACTCCTAGCCTGTGAAAAACGTGTGCAAAGTCTCCGAAAACGGAGCAGTGGCTGTGATGCTAGCTTTGCGGCTAGTTGTTATTGTTTGAAGTTGTTGCTATGGAAACAACATGACGGAGATCAAATTAATATATTCTACATATAATAACGGACAAAGTAAAGAATGAAGTGTAGGCTATGGAAACAACATGACGGAGAAAAAGTATAATCTTCTACATATAATAACGGACAAAGTAAAGAATGAAGTGTCGGCTATGTTTAAATGTTCGGAATTTGACCGTGATGGCCCTCTTGAGTTGCCGTAAAATATGACGAAGATGACTATTATTTAACAACTCTTTTTATTGGGTTCTTTTATTTTGGGTTAAGTACATTATTACCGTTATTTCCACACACCCCCCCGCCTCTGTTAGTACACATTTACTGACACAAACATTTGTATCATCTGTTGTAGACCCCAATAAATAAAAATAAAATAAGAACTAATTCTCAAAAAAGATAAACGCCATTCTTAAAATGTATAAACGAACAATAGTTTGATTAATATTGATTGGAGTGCACGATAGAAATAAAATAATTGAGAGAAGAAAAAGAGATATGTTATCTATCAAAACCCAGTTAGATTAACATTCATTGGATTGCACACTTTGTTTGTTTGGATATGTAGTAAATTAACATTTCAATAGCACTTAATGACTGACTGAATGGAAATGACAATAAATGAAAATGTAAAACGAAAAAAAGCGATCATGAAAATGTTTCCAAAAAATGAATTAAATTATTTTTGACCACTTTGTTGTTCAGATATATCACATATTTGTAACTAAATGATACATGAATTGAAACAAAACACGGTATAAACTGAGGAGTGACTCCCGTGAGGTTCATGTATTTTCTTCACTCTGCTCTCATGTCAAGAAGCATCAGATCAGTGCATGCACTGCCTCGTCCAATCAGTGAGCGATACACAGTAAGGGGGCGGGGTGAGTATCTGAGGATTTCATCGGAGGATGGTCTGGTGGTTCCTCGGTTATAGCTCCTCGCTCCTCGCTCCTCGATCCTCCGGCAGAAATAAGAGCCATGGGACGGTACTCAAGATGGCGCAGGGAAATCAACTTCCGGTGAGACCGAGGACCGAGGAAATGAAAATAGTCGACCTGAGAAGCAGCCCGGCTCACTTTAATGCTGCGCTTGGGTAGTTACTATAGTAACGCAGTGTAGGCGGAGCCGTGACGTCATCTTCAATGAGAGCCCCAGAAAAACAACACAGCCGTTAGCTCTTAGCACTCAGAGCTCACAGCTCTTCATATCTGTTCAGAAACTAGACAAAAGTTAAACAAGTGCAAACCACAGACTGCCTGTGTCATGGCGAATACAGTCGCTGCTTTATTTATGTATGTGTAGGCCGTTGTTGTGAGTGTGGACGGTCGGAGCATATAACGTTAGCTTAGCCAAGCTCCATTTAGAAAACACGTATTTCAAAAGGGTTTGTCGCCTGCCGTATGTCTACAGACTTGTCAAAGCATTAATTCATGGTTTTTACTAACCGGTATCAGTATGTTGTTACTTCGGCATCATTTTGAAACGTGTATTACAATTAAATCACGGTCAAATATGTTCATCTTGTTGTAGTTGTAGCCCCCTTGCCAGCGATTCTCTCTCTAGTTTAGCATACTCAGCCTGGT